ACAATGGTTGTTGGCAACAAAAAATGGTCCGAATTTAAAAAAAAGGCGACTGAACGAAGATGCGGTTCTATTTTTACTATTTTTAGTCTTTGTTAATGATGATTTTCAAAAAACCAAAAATGTTAAGCAAATATTTTTAAGATCAGCGGAAAATGTAAATATTAATTTAGATATAAAAAAGTTGTATTTTAAGATTAGAATATATTTTAGAATTAAGAACCTCAACAAACGGCTTGGAAGCCAAAAACAAAAACAACGCCTGTTGTCAAATTCTAAATTATTAAAAATTAAGCTATAAAAAAAACCTTCAATTCTTTTTATTACAATCCACACACTCAATTGTCGATTCGCTCGCACTTACTGGGCGAGTCCCTCTTACTCGCCCTCATTGTAGAGACGAGATTTTGCCGACGGGACTATCTTCAGTAATTGTATCATGGGCGAACATAACGAAGAAATTTGTCTCTGAGACCGCCGAGTGCAGGCAGGTTATAAGACAAAGAAAGAGGGGGAACCTCCGAATATCTGCCTCTCTTTGTTGCACGACCGTTTTCGTAGGCAGTCTTCTACGCTGCGCCGACTTCTCTGCTGACGTCAACAGCGGCACAGCGTTTTAGGCACAAAAAAAGACAAAAAAGCTTTTTACCTTGAGGCATATCACCGCGTCCCTACTGCAGAACTGAAGGGAATCTATATAGCATTGAGTTAGAATCCATATAGAGATACCATTTGCTCTGCGCGAACCTCTGCCCAACCTCTGCTGATAGCCCATTCAAGGTCAAGTGCGAAGCAACAGCAATAGTGGTGAGGATCAATTACAAAAACAATAGCGGTAAAAGCGGTGCAAATATATAATTTCCCATAAACTCACCGCGGGAACGAATTTCATGGGACTTGAAAGCATTTAAAAAACTAGGGAAATTATCGTTTTTCGCCTGGGTGGCATCATTGGCAAAATCTCAATAGAGAGCGGACGAGCAAATGGTGTCTCTATACAGATTCTTACTCTATGATAGAGACACCATGGTGACAAAATGGTGTCATTTACTTTGCTGCAGTTATACAGCAGCCAGTTCCTGCAAATCCACGATTTGTGCTTGGGGTCGTTGTCTTGATAAAGCTTGTACTGAAGCTTAGTTGGTTTTTTAGGGTTAATGAAACCAAAATCAATGACGCTTTTGGTCAATTTTTGTTTCAAAATGTCCAAATAAAATTGTTTGGTCATAATGTCGTTAAAGACTCAGAGTTCTCCGACGCCCTTGAATGAAATACAGCCCCAAACCATTTCGGATAGCTTTCCAAACTTCACTTTTGGTATGATATTCTTCTGTTTTAAGGCTGTGTTGGGCTTTTTCCAAACCTTGCTAAGTGCATCATGATAGTATAACATTATTTTGGTCTCATCAGTACTAGAAAATTTTAGCCGCCTATCGATGTTAACAGCAGAAAGCATAGGCTTCTTTCTGGCTACGTGGGAAGAGTATTTGTGCGTATTGATAACTTTTTTGATGGTCTTGTTGCTCACTGTTTTATTGCAATCATTTTGTAAGTCCAGGGTCAACTGCCTAAGTGTAGTTCGCGGATTATTGTTATAAGATAAGATAAGATAAGAACATAACAAAAACTAACGTGTTCATTTTTCTCGAAATTTAGTTACCTGTACCTTGATTTGTGTCTCTCTTTACCTTCTGTTTACATTTTGCAAAGAGTTAATTGACAACTGATTACTATCCCACTTTTTGTTTTTCCCTAAGTTTCATGCTGAAATATGTTTTGTTTTCTATTTATAGTTGTAGACTTTAAGCACCTTAACCATATTATGAAAGGAAAAATGAAATAAATCTATTTTTGTTAATAAAAATATAACTTTAAAATGAATATTAATGACATTTTTCCTTTTGCAAAGAATTATTTGAAAAACTGTATGTAATTGGTCTTGTAGTTGTGTGTGCAGTCGTTTGCTCGCGCAAGTTTCCTTTTGCCGCCGTTTTCTTGATAAATGCGCATAATTTTAGTAGTTTTTCCTGAAGCAACGAAGGAAAGCTTCTTGTCGCGCTCAACCAGGACCCAGTGTGAATGGTCTCGATGGAGCGCTTTATTGTTCACATCGCAGCGTTAAACATTATGCCGGCTGGCTGACTTGGGTGAATTAGATGGGCCGAGTTGAGTTGCCTTGACTTTATAGGTAAGTCCATACGTGTGGTGCATAGTTGCCCTAACCGTTGTGGGCGGTGGGTTTGTCTGCGGGATACATACACATGTGTGTATGACTTAATGAAACACCTGCCAAGATTTATGAGCCAGTTCAAGTTTTATTAGTTATCGTGCTGCAGGGGCTGCGTTCTTATCTGAGTTAAAAATGTTCTTACAATGAGAACGACATTTTTATACCAGTTACTCGTAGAGTAAAAGGGTATACTAGATTCGTCGGAAAGTAATGTAGCAAGTTGGGATTCGGTATGTAGATTCCTTTGTTTCGGCAGGGTGCCACGCCCATTCTATCGCCCACAAGCCGCGTAAAGCTGTGGGGCCTTCAGCTATTATGCTAGACAAAATTTTTAATTGAAATGTATTGGGCTCATCAATACCTATCGATTTACCTAAAAAAAAGTTTCCCACGTTTGATTCAAAAAGTCTCTTCAAACAAAAATAATATTTACTGCACAAAGAATTTTTCAAAAACCATTTTACTTATATTTGTTATGATTTTTTAAAAGCGAAAATGTCGGAAGAAATTTGTATGAAAACAAAAAATGTATGGCTCAAATGCATGTTTCTAAACATTTTCAAAAAATGATACAAAATATAAGAAAACTGATTTTTGAAAATTTTTTTTGTAGTTACTATTATTTTTGTTTGACGAAACTTTTTGCATTTAAGTTTTCCAAGACGAGTTTCCAAGGCGAGGAAAAAGTTTAAAAAGTAGATTTTTACACAAATTCGTTATTTTCAATAAGTACTAAATGGGTTAAGCAATGTATTGTATCATTCAAACGGCATTTAAATTAACTTTCCATTAATGTTTTGAAGAAGTAAGTTCAAATTATGAGTATATTTATATATATATATTTACATGAGTCGTTCTTCGCCCGAATAAAAATTTTAGAAGATTTTTATATTCGTTGGTTATTCTTTATTAGAACGTTGGAAAAAGACTAATTGTATGTTACAGAATTGGTTAGAATGAAACCTCGGTTTGCGTCTTAGAATTTACTGTTAGTGCATTAGGTGACGCAATCGCAGGTGGATGATGCGATCGCCACTTCTTTGTTTATGTTTACATAATTCGGTCTTATTGGATTTTGCGATCCTATTGGATTTTTACGTTTATTGAATTACGTCATTGTTGACGTTCGGACTTAATCAATTTTCTTTGTTTATTTGCAATGCGGGATCTCGAGCTTCTGTATCGTTTTTAATCAAAGCCGAAATTGGCGATTCTGTTTATTTGTAAACGGTTTCGATCTTTCAACTGGTGGCCGTTGAGAAATCGCAGTGCAGACACGTCACTATATATGTTTCGTCAAAATGCTTATGTCGACCAGTGTAGGTTTATTTGGCTTTGATCACTCTTTTAGCGACTTAAAGTTAGAAGCAAAATTTGATTTTATTATTTATTTAACAAATTAGGCTAAGCATACAATGACTTACTTAATTGCAAAATTACCGAGCACTGGCTGCGGTGGCCTTTGACTCTGGTTGTGATTTAATTATTCTAGGTATTTATTAAGGTTATATACATTTCTTTTTCATATTTTACTTCACCTTTTACATTAAGAGCTTTGATTCTTTAATGAATTCGCGCATTTTTTTAATGTTTTCTGCGGATGGGCATTCTAAGGTTTGTGTAGGTAGCTGGGGCCCAAAAAAGTTTGATCTAAGGCTAGACAGACCAGGGCCATTATTTAGTAAGTGGACAATGTTTGGAAGTCCACAGCAGAAACTACAAATTTGACTATTTTGGCCTTTTTATAGGTGTTTGTGTGTTTGTTGAGTGTGTCTACCGGTCGCAGCTGGAAGATGTATTTTGGTGCATGTAGGATTTTTTCTCCTGTACCTATGGTTGAAACTATTCCATTCCAACATCGTTTGGGTTTCAAAGTGGTGATATATCAAGTTGTGTATATCTTTGCAATTGACGGGAGTAAACATGAAGGTTGGGGAGCGGCCCATGTTGTGGGCAGCCAGGTCTGCGTCTTCGTTTTCTCGAATGCCCTGATGGCTAGGGACCCAGAAGAATGTAATTTTTGTAGAGTACTTTTTGCTTATCCTTTGTGTCTCCCGTATGGTGGGGTCGTAATACTCGGGGTTATTTATTGCTAGCAGAGAAGAGAGACTGTCGGTGCAGACAACAAATTTCCCCTTGTGATCGATGGCAAAGCGGCAGACTACTAATATAGCATTGGCTTCTGCAACGAATATTGAATTGTAAAGGGGGAGGCTTCCCCCCGCTATGATGGAGTTGTTGGCGTGAAAGAGGTTGAATCCAATGTTTTGGATCCATCGGTATACTTTTCGCTTTGAAATCGGATGCGATATACTGAGCTAGGAGTGTGACACTTGCTTGAGATACGCAGGTTATTGTTTATAGTTGGTTGAGACCAGGGTGGAAATGGCTCGGACGGCTTGAAGCGGTTCGGTGGGGGTAAGTCCAATTCTTTAATAAAGTTAGCGCATATTTGGAGAGTATAAGCGCATTTATACTTCCTTCTATCTTTAAAAGAGCTCTTGAAGTCGTCAGCCAGTAACCGATTTGAAGTGGTGTACAATTTTGGAATAAGCCGGCAGGTCGATTCTTTTATTTTTTTGGGAATGTTGTGTAGTCCTGATTCCGCAATCTACAATTGCTAGATTATCTGTTTTGCTTATGCTTTTGTTCCTTAATACAATTTCGGGAAAGTTAAAATTGTGCTTTTTTTTTTTTTTTTTTTTTTCTTTTTTTTTTCTTTTTTTTTTTTTTTAAAAAAAAGTCGTGTTGCCGCGATCGAATCGGACTCCGCACTACCTGGACCACCTGGTGCCCAGCAACGAGCAACGTAACCTTTGACCGCACGCACCGCCTTCCATCGCCCCCAGTGAAATGTCGCTGAATCCGCAGTACGAGGACATCGGCAAGGGATTTGTGCAGCAGTACTATGCGATATTCGACGACCCGGCGAATCGGGCGAACGTGGTCAACTTCTTCAGCGCTACCGACTCATTCATGACCTTCGAAGGTCACCAAATACAGGGTGCACCCAAGATCCTCGAGAAAGTTCAGAGTCTGAGTTTTCAGAAGATCACCCGAGTGATAACCACAGTATATTAGCAGCCCACATTCGACGGCGAAGTGCTGATTAATGTCCTCGGACGGCTACAGTGCGACGACGATCCCCCGCACGCCTTCTTGCAGGTCTTCGTCCTGAAGGCCAACGCCGGCACCTTCTTCGTGGCCCACGACATCTTCCGCCTGAACATCCACAACTCTGCCTAGGAGCCCCCCACTCCGCTGGACGTGTGTCCAAAACTATTTATCCGCACCACTCAGCAACACACACACACTCAACCGACATCCAAAGATGCCCGGCCCCCAACGACATCAACTGGCCGGCAGTGGAACTCAATAGAAAAATAAAACTAACAATGCAAAGCAGAAGCAGCAGCAGCAGCGGTCTCACGTTTATCAACAGATGAAAAAAGCAACAGAAAAAAAGAAAAAACACACAGTAAAAAGAAGAATTAAATTGTAACTACTATTACGATGTAAACAAAATGGGCCACCAGCTCACCCATTCTTGTGTCCCATTGCGCCCGGTACTCTCGACTTGCGGGGCCCCATCGAATTGTATGTTCCGCGAACACCGGGATCTCGGGATCTAATTTAGCTAGGGCTATCAAATTTGGCATGTGGTCTGCTACGAGCTTGCTTTTCATTTTCCCAGGAAAATAATCAAAAACCGTTGGCAACTACGTGCACTAAAATTGATTGTTTGCTTAGATATTTCCTATACATTCTATACATTTTCGCTTGAGTCTTATTCGGTTATGTACTGTAATTATTGAAATACTTTTAGATAGCCGTATTGCAATGTTTTGTATCGAATACCCACTTCTTAAACCGTGGCCTGAGTACCGGCACTATAACATGGTCGAGAATATCGACTCTAGCTTTCTTGTATGACTAATTGAGTGATGGCGAATTACTTTTTATTGAGACAAAAAAAAAAGAACACTTAAATATAAAGATATATGTAGGACCTGAAATTTTTCAATGCAGAGAAAAGCTCCGGATGAAGTACCCCAATGCACCAGCTCTTCAGAGTAAGTTTCTTTGACGGAATCGAGATCTTTTTTTTTGGTAAAAATAAAGGCATCGTCCGCATAGAGCGAGATGGATATATCTTTATGCCTGTTAAAGATAGAGGTGATTTGCTCAAAGGCAACCATAAAGAGCAACACCGATAAAGGAGAACCCTCACCATTGTGGAGCTTGTGTAGTCTTGAGGTTGACTTGTTAACTCGGACCCTAAAAGTTCTATTGGTCATAAAGGCTTTGATATGGTTATAAAGCCTTGGACCAACACCCCAGAGTTTGTGTAACACTGAATGTAACCCTATGCGGTCGAAAGCCTTTTCAAAATCCGGATCCAGAATGGATTCGTGGTTTTTTGTTGAAGGGGCCTTCGACGTGAAGTGTTGAAATCTCAGCAGAGCGTCCATGGTACAGTGGGTCCTTTTAAATGCCACTTGGTATTGAGAGATTGGTTATTTTTTGGGGTGATAAACCACATTAGTCTACGAGCTATCATTTTCTCTATTATTTTCCCAAGGCAGGAGAGGAGCGAGATGGGACGAAAACTATTTGTGCTGCGGTCAGATTTCTTTGGGCTTGGAATAGGGATTACTGTGGCTGATTTCCAGATGTGTGGGTCGGTACCAGTAATAAACGTGAGATTGAAAACTTCAAGGACCATTTCCTTGAGAGTGGGAGGAATATTTTTCAGCATTGCATACGATATTTTGTCGTACCCGGGACATTTCCCCTTGGAAGTTAGAATGGCAAGTTCCATATTCAAGAGAGTGAATTTTTGCTCAAGTTGCTTTGCAGCATTGCATAGAGAGTTAGGTTGGTAAGTGCTGTTTACGTAGCTTTGTTTTTGATCATAGAGTAAGAATCTAAATAAAGACACCATTTGCTCTGCCACTCTCTTTTGAGACTTTGCCAATGATGCCACCCAGGCGAAAAACCATAATTTCCCTAGTTTTTAAAATGTTCGATGGGAACTTAAAATTCGTTCCCGCGGTGAATTTTATGGGAAATTATATATTTGCACCGCTTTTACTCTGTTTTTCAAATTTGACCTTGAATTGGCTCTCAGCAGAGGTTGGGCAGAGGTTAGGGCAGAGCAAATGGTGTCTCTATATAGATTCTTACTCTATGTTTTGATCGACGTAGTTCCGAGAGAAATTGCAGTCTGCAGAGTAATTTGACCAAGTATTACCAAATTCCTCACCTATTTTACTCTCACTGGTGACAAACCTAGCTTCGGTTACTAGGCACTTTATTGGGGTGGGAGGCACTCCCGCTAGGCGCTTGACTTCGGACCATATTTTTTTTTGAGTCTGACAGGGGCGAGATTAGTGAGGTAAATTTTTTCAGGCAGGATCGCTTATCTGTCAGGACGGCTCTTTTGAACCGAGAATTGGATTTCTTGTATTTTAAGAGGCTTGTAGAACAAAGCTTTTGTTTTTTTTTTCTTTTAAGTTTTTGGGCTTTTACTAACGGCAGCAAAGCGGTTGTCCCCCAAATTGGGGGACCCGGGGGGCATGGTCACTATTTTGCTTGCTGTTTGGTGGAGTTCGGGTGTTCGTTAGAGACAAGAGAAAATTTGATCGTAAATCGCCCGAATAGAACTGCCGGGAGACGTCCGCACTTGATGAGAGGTAGTCGGTGACTGAAATTTAATTTATATTTGCCATATCTCTTACACCAATTTCTATTTCAAGTTAATGTAGGTATGGATGAAAAGAACTAAAATGGCAAAACACATTTTTGAAAAAGTTTATCTAGGACGTTCCAAGCCGTTCCTTAGCTTAAGTGAGTGCGATAGGGATAAAGATATGCCTAAAGCAACTCTGATTTTTTTACTAACACACCTAGCCTAAAGCGCCACCAATCTTCTTCTTCTATAGCGCCACTTGACCTACAGGGCCAACCTTTATTTTTTTCCGTCTCTCCATTATGTTCGACTAGCGACAAAAAGTTGGCACAACAATTTTCGTGGCGCAGCGACATGTGAATGCCCTTATATTTAGGAGCATTTAGTTCGTTAATATTTATTTTAATATTTTAAATATTTTAATATTAACATTTTAAAGAAAGGAAGAACGCTATAGTCGAGTCTCTCGATACCCGATACTCTGCTAAAGGAACCAAAGAGATGGAGAGCAGCAAAGCGAGATTGTAATGCGCCACCTACCCGCTACCTCAATGTATGGTTATGTGGGCGGCAGACAGATTTAAGCGTTTAGGTCAATGGATACGTAATGACGAGACTAATACATATCCGATAAATTTGTTTTCTAGAATGAAAATTTTGGGCTCCATAGGACTTTGGCGGTTTTTGAACGTTAGAGTGGGCGTGGCAATTTTTTTGGGTCAATCGATAGGCATTGATGAGACTAATACATTTTAGCTTAAACTTGTTTTCTAGCATGAAAATTGTAGGCGCCCAAACCTAGAGCGGTTTGTGGGCGTTAGAGTGGGAGTGGCAAACTTATTTTTTGCTCAATCAATAGGTATTAACGAGTCCAATAAATTTCGGTTACAAATTTTTTTCAAGCATAAAAACTGTAGACACCACAGTTTTGGGCGGTTTGTAGGCAATCTAGACGCGGCAATGCAGAAGGTTTAGAAACTATAAGAAATGTAACTTTACTATTATAAATAGTTAACCAAACGAAAAATCTTCCACACAAAAGTATGCAACAATAACTTAACACATTTTTTCTAATGCACTGGCCCAGTGTGTAAGTTAAAGTAAATTTTGTTGCCAAAGATTGTAGTTTCTTTCCTGGGATAGTTAAAAGATTGAACTTTTTAGCGAACTACTACTACTACACGAAACAACATTTATTGTAATTATACCCGTTACTCGTAGAGTAAAAGGGTATACTAGATTCGTCGGAAAGTATGTAACAGGCAGAAGGAAGCGTTTCCGACCCCATAAAGTATATATATTATTGATCAGGATCACTAGCCGAGTGGATCTAGCCATGTCCGTCTGTCCGTCTGTCCGGATGAACGCTGAGATCTCGGAAACTTTGAGAGCTAGGCTATTGAGATTTGGCGTACAGATTCCTGAGCTTCTTACGCAGCGCAAGTTTGTTTCAGTAGACTGCCACGCCCACTATAACGCCCACAAACCGCCCTAAAATGTAACTCCTACAGTTTTGATGCTAGATAGAAAATTTTAACTGAAATGTATTAGTCTTGTCAATACCTATCGATTGACCAAAAAAAAATTTTGCTACGCCCACTCTAACGCCCACAAACCTCCAAAGAAAAAAGCTATGACGTCAGAGCCAGACAATGCGAAATGTTTTTACGCGTGTATGTGTGTGTATGTAAATAGTTGCCGGCCGAACTTAGCGGCAAAGAAAAAAGCCCTGCCGGCGCTCAGAGAGAGCAAAGTGCGCGGCTAACTTATTCTATTGAATAATGAACCCTTTATCCATTTGTCCCATTGACGGGCAAAAACCTTTAAAGATCTGTATATCTTTATTTATCTCTTTCAAAGAATATGAATTAGCTTAATAAATACCTATAGATTGTCCCAAAAAAACTTTTCCGTTTTCAGTCCAATGCTCTCAAACCAAAGTAGTTAGGAAAAGCCTTGACACTAGAGCCAGAAAACGACATACATACATATGTATTTATGCATGTGTGTGGACGTAAAAAATTGCAATCTAATATCCGCGGCAAATAGAATTCTTTCAAACAAAGCTATTCAACCAAATATTTTGAAATACAGAATGTGCCTTAAAATTGTGTAAGTTTAGCAAGCATACATAAATATAAATGTTTTTTTGTCTATTTTATGTGTTGCTTTCTCATTCTTGGCGCTGGCTGAAACAAAAGCAGAGCCGAGAAATGAGAGCAAGGGAGAGAGAATAAAGTGCGCGGCTAACTTATTTTAAAGTTTGTTATCTGAGTAACGGGAATTTGATAGTCGAGGTACTCGACTATAGCGTTCTTCCTTGTTTTTTATGGTATAGATAATCCAAGCCTAAATCGGAATATGTTACATACTATTCCGTTTTTTATTTTTAAAAAAAGAACTAGGAAACGCATTCAATCCATTTTCATACACGATTAAGTATGAGAGAAAACAAATTAAAACAATTTAACACCGCTATAAAATATTATGTCGTTAAAGATTTATGAACCGATAAAAATTGCTACTTTCGGAGGCTCCCACTTCAACGTTTAATTAATAATCGACTTAAAAAATGTTCTTTTTTTTCTTCTTGTTATCTCTTTAGATTCTTATAATCAAATTTTTAGAAAAAAATTGTTTGTAAAATATTGTTTTTTAATTTTTTTAATGTTAATTTGACATATTTTGAAGTCATCAAAAAAAGTATGCTTTATTTATTTATTTTTATAAGATTATAGTAAAGTTTACAAAAATAATCCTAACATAGGGGGTG